ACTCTTTCCATCTAGATGTGAAGTAAACCTGGCAGCTGCCTACAGCCATGTTTGTATCATCAGGGGAGAGAAGCCAGAGCTGAGAAAAATCACAGGGAGAGAGCCATTGCTCTGATGAGACCGTGATCCTCTGGACCAAACTGTGTCCAAAGCTAGTGCATTTATGGGCTTTTCTGTTAGGTGAGGCAATAACTTTTCTTGATTGAGTTTGAGTTGTTTTTTCTGTTCTTGCAAGTAAAATAATCCTAAGAAATATACTATGTAACCTTGAGCAAGTTTCATTAACCCCTAAACATCAGTTTCCTGATCTATAATGGGGGATCATATAATACCTATCATCTATCATCTATTACTGCAACCACAGTGAGGTGCAATAGTGCTTGAAAAATGCATAGCACAGTGCTTAGTACAAAGTAAGAATTCAATAAATTGGAGCTATTTTTATTATGTTTGGAGCTCTAGACACTGTGCTAAATGCTTTCAGTACATCATTTCCCTTAATCATCACGTCAACCTATAAGGTAGGATTTATTATCCCCATTTTACAAATGAAGAAATGAGGGTTAGAGGGTTTAAGTGACTTGCCCATGCTACCAAGAGGCAGAGATTTCACCAGGTATGATTATTTCTTTTCTAAAAAATCTTTTGACCAGATGATGTTGAGTGTACATTATCAGTAAAATGCTAATATGCCAAAAATGGTTAGGTATTAGGGACATAGCAGTAAATACACATATTTTCTTTGAGTTTAGTTTTAGAGGATACAGTCTTACAACTATCTGGATTATAAGAGATTAGATTGAATTTGTGCCTTGGATTTACTTGAAAACATCATGTTTCTTACAACTAAGCTAACCAGCCAATAACATCTAAATCTTACAGGCACGCAAAAAGCACTAAAAGTAAGTTATGCAACTAAATGCAGGACATACAGAGGTCGTTTCCATGTACAACTTAAAGCATACCTACACATATTACATTACAATTGTTATTTAATTTCTCCTAAAACCCTGATCTGAAATGTAACATTTCTCTTACATTTGATTCCATGGGTTAAAAAAAAATCTTTTTCATATGTACTATAAAGGTATTCTCTCTATATTTTCTCTGCTCTTTCTGACATGATGTCAACTTGTATGTGGTTCTAGGAAGTCTGAACAATTAGACGTGATAATGGAAGAAAACAAAATAGACTTAGGGTCTCCACTACACTATTTTCTTAGGAAACTTACAGGGAAATCTCATGGTGTGTTTTACTGTTTACCTGTAGGTGACATTCTCCAGATGTCTTTACATGTCATGGAGTGCCTGTGACAGAACATCAATCACTAGGGAGAGGAAAGAACAACTGTATGGAGAACAGTTAATCTGAACCTCTGCCTTACAAGTGTTGTCTTGTGGGCAGATCAGGAAATTCCTTACAAGTAATCTATAGTAAGCCTCCAGAAACAAATAGGCTCTGGACTTGTCTTCTTAACAACTAGGTCAATATTTTGTCTAAGCAAATGTAATTGTGTCAGGACACACCCCAAATGAGAAGTCACAGGCTTTCATCCTGCCTCACTCCAGGCTTTCGATGTGAAGTTAGATAGAAGGGTCTGAGAGGAGGACCTGGAAAATCGTCCTAGAGATAATATAAGCGATCCTTGATTTTGTACTGAGGAGATTTTTACCTGTATCGAAGTCATACATGAGGAAGCTAACAAACAACTGAGAAGAGTTTGTTCTTTTTCTTTTGATAGCTTAGTTTTTAGATACCGAGAGTGTGGAAGTGGACAGATTTGTAGTCAGACAGATCTAGCTTTGCTCTTTCTAGGTGAGAGACTTTGCGTATATCATTTAACCTCTCCAAGCCTAATTCTCATCGTAAAATGAAAATACAGGCATACCTTGTTTTATTGTGCTTCACTTTATTGCACTTCACAGATATCGTGTTTTTTACAAATTGAAGATTTGTGGCAATCCTGAGTCAGTTTCCCAACAGCATTATTTTTTAAGTAAGGTATGTACATTGTTTTCTAGATATAATGCTATTGCACACTTAACAGACTACAGTATAGTATAAACATAACTCTTATATGCACTGGGAAGCCAAAATATTTGTGACTCACTTGATTGCAATATTTGCTTTCTTTCAGTGGTCTGGAACCGAACCCACGGTATCTCTGGGGTATGCCTGTAATAAAACCTGCTTCACAGGGTTGTGTAATACATGGGCACAGCTCATAGTAGAAACTCAATAAAAGGTAGTTTATTTCCCTTTGATTCTAAGAAATGATTTATTTGATTTAATGTCTTATAAGAAAAATGTCTGTCTTAGAAATATAATCTCAACATCACTGGACTTCACCAGCATGGGAGTACTAATACATAAATACTAATACATTTTTAAAACCTATTTCCACATTTAACTAATACAGTAATTCCTGGGTATCACTAGGGATGCATCTTGTGCGTCTCTCATCTTCATTCAGCCCTTTGCCGATGTCTGCTGCCCAGGAAGATCAACTTGGGGGCCGTGCCTCGCCCCTGTGTCTCCTGGTGATCCTCGATGAGAATACACTGGTTGTGTCTTCTCTGAGAACGCTAGAGATACCCAAACTAATACCGTCAAGAGGCCAAGACGACATGACTTCCTGTTAAGACTTCAGTGCAACACAAGCACACTATGTATGCAGAGATGATCCTCTCTCCCCATTTTCTCCCTTGGCCACTTGGACCACAAACAGCACTACTTGTGCCTCCCTATGAAAAAAGCGTCTTCAGCTTCTTCTTAATCCCTCATCGGCCATAAGCAAGGACCAGGAATCTATCTCAAGGTCCCCTATTCCATATAATCCCACCCTAATGCAAACCAATTTCTGCATATTTCAGACTGTCAGTTTCCCAGTTCATCATAACCATCCAGACTCTGAAATGCAGTTTAGGCTCAGTTGGAACCCTCTCGACAGTAACAATTACTGCACATTCTGATATTCTGATTCTTCATCCACTAGAGTTCTGCCCTCCAAATCAGAAGTATACAACAGAGGGCTTCCCTGGTGGCGCAGTGGTTGAGAGTCCGCCTGCCGATGCAGGGGACGCGGGTTCGTGCCCCGGTCCGGGAAGTTCCCACATACCACGGAGCGGCTGGGCCCGTGAGCCATGGCCGCTGAGCCTGCGCATCCGGAGCCTGTGCTCCGCAACGGGAGATGCCACAACAGTGAGGGGCCCGCGTACCGCAAAAAAAAAAAAAAAAAAAAAAAAAAAAAAGTATACAACAGAGTAAAATGTGTAATATAAATTTATTCTGTGACATTTTCCTCATTGAAGATATTTTAAAATAGATTAAAATGTATCAATATTTTATGAAAAATACCTAGTATAAGAATTTAGATAATACCTGTAATATACATGATTTGACCCTGAGTATCCTTTTTTTGTTTCATTTCAAACAATATTTTTTAAAAAGTAACATGAAAATGATAAGGATTACTGCATTCTTCATATATCTGGTGTCTCATAAATTTTAATTCAACTGCCAGTTCTTTTCTCAACTATACACGTTAACGCTATTTGCTTCTCGTTTTGAATGGGAAGAGTATCCATTTTCGGTTTAACAGTGATATTTAGGTCTTCTTTCTCTGCTTCTTCAAGAAAATTCTTCATGCTGAGTTTGAACAGTAATCGAGGGTCTGGTCCAGAAAGTGGTGGGCAATTACAGATCTCTCTAATTTTGAGTGCCTATAAAGAAAGAATACAACACAGAATATATACACATATATAAATTAATTAAGGTTATTCCAGTAATTCCTAATATGCTCTATGTAAAACAATGAAATATAAGAATACATTCTGCATTTTTGCAATAAAAGGTATCTTAATTACAACATATGAAAGAGAACCATATATAAATTCATAGTAAATAGTTATATCTACATGGTTAGTTTATATAATAAGATACCTGCAAAAAACAACTGTATTTGCAATGACTGCCCACTGTCCTATTGGGGATAAATAAGCCTTCTTGGAAGTATCTCTATGATTTGTCAAACTCGAGCCAATCCTGAGAACATTATTCCGATTGGAGAATATCTGAAGACGCAGAGAGATTTTTTTCAAGAGAAAGAAAACAACAGAAAATAGATGTGAACGTACTGAAAGAAGATGTACATGACTGGCACAGTCTGGGGTGGAAATGATGCTAATAACCTAGAAAAGAAAGCAAATCAAAATCATGACAACTTTTAACTCCAGGAAAAATAAAATGACGCAGGGAAAAGTAAGCACAGTATACGACATGTCTCAGCTGTGATTAGTGTTTACAGTTTTTAAAAACTGCATCTTTATCTAACCAAAATCACAACTTAACCATATTGGGAAGCGGGGAGAGCTGGATACATGTGTGTATATGCACAGGGTGTGACAGTGGTAAGGGAGAACTTAATTCTCATCCTCTATGGGGGGAAAAGAAATAGATAATACCTAAAACTGAAAAGTTAGGAAGTAGCAATATAAGCACGTTATACAGATAAAGTGGGAAATACCAAAAGAATCCTTTAATAGAGTTGCAAATGGTTACGCGTGAAACTGAAGGCAGGATAGGGAGACTCTGCCGCTTTAAGTACCAGCCTTAGAGAACTAGGTGCTTCTTCAGAGCGGGTACATGAATGACTTTAAGACATGGAAACTAAAATAGCAATTTTTTTGGGCTTCCCTGGTGGCGCAGTGGTTGAGAGTCCGCCTGCCGATGCAGGGGACACGGGTTCGTGCCCCAGTCCGGGAAGATCCCACATGCCGCGGAGCGCTGGGCGCGTCCAGAGCCTGTGCTCCGCAATGGGAGAGGCCACAACAGTGAGAGGCCCACATACCGCAAAAAAATAAATAAAAATAAATAAAAAATAAATAAATAAAATAAAATAGCAATTTTTTTAAGGGAAAAAAGTCTTAATACCTAAGGGGTTTGAAAAGAAAGATGTTTAAGGGGAAAAGCTAGTTTAGGTTTTTACTCCTTCTAAATGTTTGATAGTGATGCATGTTAAGGGAAGAAAAGCAGTGGAGGGGAGAGTCAGTGCTTGGGGAGTAGGAAAGTTTTAAAAATATAAGTTCTCACTGATAAAATAATGACTTGGAGCAGTGGGGAGAAGACCTAAAGGACAAGGACCTGAGGGAAGAGGTCGCATGGGTACCTAGAAGAGAATTCTAAGAAGCAGCAGTGAGCGCCGGAACCTGAGAAGGGAGCATGGCTGGAGTGCTGTGGAGGAAGCCAGGGCAGCTGCAGCAGAGGCGGGAAGGAGGCAGGAGCAGACTGCAGGATCTCACAGGTCACGCTGCAGAGTTTAGGTTTTCCTCTGAGTGGGCCTGCTTCCTGATATTTGTGGGGTCCATGGCCAGAACGCAAATGGAGGCTCAGATACCATATATTTAAACATCTAAAATGACTACATACAAAAATGTTCTACTTTGAGGAACAGACAATCAAAATGACCCTGACAGGGACGTTCCTGGTGGTCCAGTGGTTGAGAATCCGCGTTCCAATGCAGGGGACGTGGGTTCGATCCCTGGTTGGGGAACTAAGATCCCACATGCTGCGGGGTCAACTAAGCCTGCGCACCGCAACTACAGAGCCCATGCCCCACCTAGACAGAAGCCCGTGCGCCACAACAAAAGATCCCATGTGCTGCAACTAAGACCCAGTGCAGCCAGAAATAAATAAATTAATTAATATTTTTTTTAAAAGTAGCTGTACCTTTTTTAAAAAAATGACTCGGACAGCCAAGTACAAAATTAGAATTCTTTAATTTCACATGTCAGGTTGCAGGGAGCCTACCCCAGCTGCTGCCACTGGCCTGCTGTCCACTCCCTTCTCCTCCCACCCCTGGCCTACCTGGCAGAGTGAGGGACCTTGTGTGCGTGCGTCCAAAGGAAGAGGTCCATGCAGGCCCTGAAAGCGGGCTCCAAAGTGTTTGGGCGAGGAACTCCACTATTCCAAATACCAGAGTGCCATGTGGTGAGGGCACAGGTTCTTAAAACGGACTACTCCCTTAGCTCCCATGGGAGACGGGGGCATGCAACCAGAGGCAAGCCAGAAAAGTGTCTTTTTAAATGGTCGAGGCCAGGGCAAGAGGTTGGGTCTAGGAGACCTTTGACCCTGAATGAGCCTATAAGTTACCAAAATAAACTGAAGAGGAAAAAGCATTAAAGTGAAATTCTTTGGTGATAGGGGCCTTGTCTGAAGTTTCTTTGTATCTCACAATACAGTAGATTTAATATGTATTGAGTGTTAAATAAATGTTAGTTAAAGTAAGTTGAACTGAAAAAAGGAAGAAAATGTTTCCCAACTATAGCACTAAAGTAAAAAGAAATTCAGACCCTCAGCTAAATGGTGACCTACTGTCCAAACAAGGATACCTTTGGGAGTGACAGGAAATGCTATTAAAATAAGATTTACACTGAGACATCAGGCATAAACTGAGACTGTCCTGTCAAAACTGGGATGTACAGTTTACTCTTGCTTTAACTCCTTTACAACCATGTTGATGTTCTTTTCCAAGTGAGAAGCCAACCTGTCACGGCTGCTACATCACATGCCTAAGGCCTTCACTGGTATCAGTAAAGGGCCAAGTGTGGAGTTCAGCAGGTAGTAGCTGGGCCCACCG